TGTCACCTCGTTCTCTCTCTTTATCTTCCACCCTGCTCTGCCTACACTCGTCACTCTGCCCTACGGTGGCAGCGCGGAACTCGCCGGCACTCTCGTACTCCTCGGCGTCTCCACAGATTGAACTCGAAGAGTTGGGTGGCCGAATCGTCGGCTCGTCATCCGTCGTGTAGCCACCCTCCGTTTCGGTCTCTGTGTCAGTTTCGGTGCTGACAATGCTCGCAGCATCATCGTCGCGCGTGCGTACAGCACGCATACTGGGCGTCCGATCGGGCGCCACTGAACCACCATACACATCAATAGCGCCCATAGCCCGTGCCGGGCCTGATACTGCGGTAGGTGATGAACGTGTCTGAAACGTTGATTGATGTGAACGTGATGGAGTTACAGGGCGGGGCACGGAAGGCGATTCTGGTGGCTGTGATTGCGAAAAGAGGATAAGCTGTTCTGCATATCTTTGCATCTCCTCAGGCGATATGACGAGTCTGAAGTCGTTGAGAAGCAAAAACTGGAGTTCGAGTTGGTTGAGCTCTGCTTGAGGGAGACCTCCGACCTGAGTAAAGATAGCGAGATGTGGAGTGGAGTGAATATTTTGAACAGGTCTGTGAAGTTGAAACCCACCTTCGCATACCGCGAATTAGTGTAGAATACATCGCTGAAAAATTTACTGGCGACTGTGACGCCAGCAATGACAAGTCTATGGACGTTATACGAGTCGATAACAAACGTGCGCCCCGTAGCCTCGGAGGCGAGGCGAGACATGCGGTCAAAATACACGAGGAGGGCTAAAAACACCTCGTTTGTAGTTGGACAATATTTGAGTATTCGTAAAAGGTATGATTCGAGTGCGATAGTTGGAATGTTGCGAGCATGGAAAGTGAGGGCGGATGCAGGATTTGACAGAGAGGAACGGGAAGCGGAGGTAAGGGAGCACCAAATAGGGGAACGAGATGCATCTTCTGATATATTGTTATGCGACAGACCTGCCAAAGTATGGGATGCTGGGTCTGAACCTGAAATTACATCGTTGGTGGATGCAATCTGGGTAAGAAGTGAAGCAAGGAGACGAAGCAAATCGGTTGAGGGGTAGCTATGAACGTCAAAAGATGAAGCAGAGGTTGGTAGGTTTATTTGAGGTTGAGGAATTGGAGAACCAGCTCTTGGAGGGTTATCAGGGGGAGGGACTTTGGTTGTGGCTACTGGAGATTCGGATGTTGCCTGAGTTGACTGTACGGCGTTATGCCGAATTGGAGAAGAGTCTTTTGTCACAACTGAAGATCCAGAAGTCGATCTGCGTGGTACTGGTTGGCAGTAGGACGAAGATGGCTGAAATACAGCGGTAGTTGTCGATGCTTGCGGTTTCCAATGTGGAACTCTGCTAGAACTTGGTCGACCGGTGGATGAGGATGAAGTGGTTCTAGGTAGACTTGAAATATTTCTGTCGACGCCAGTTCTATCGATAGTTCTAGCTTCTGTCGGATGGGCGAGAGCGAGCATGATTGAAGACGTTGAAGAGGACCTAGCTAAGTTGAGCGCTCAAGCAATCACAAAATGTAAACAATCTTCTTCTACCCCGTGGGAATAGATTACTTAGCGTGTGAGACTGAGACAATTCGTATGTGGCGTTTTGATTGGGCTGTCTTTCATCCCTCCGAGTTCCACAAATCATTAATGTATTTCTGTGTCTTGTGTCCAATCAAACTCCCAACGTTCGTGGTACACGGTGATCTCCGTCAAGTATTTCCATTACTATGCGCATGTATTATACATTCATACCGGCAGGGCTTCGCTCATTTTGATTCGTCGGATGAAGGATCGAATAACCATCCTCCACGGCGATCCCGCTCGGTGGCGTCGCACGTCATCATTCGCCTTTCGCTTCGGGAGATCATTGTTACAACGGCGGTTCCCACTGACGGCGTTCACCGTGCGGTGACATCGTGGTCGCCATTTTGCAGGAAACTCGCGAATAACAATAACTTTGCTGACTATTGCAAGAACCGTAATTTCTCTCGCGGCCACCGTCGGTGCCTCGGGTAATTGCAAATCAGTAGCTAGCCTGGGCTTTTCAATTGGGTGCCCTTGATACTCCGAGGCCTTATATGTATTTTAGGACTCGCGACCGCTTGCGTGGCTGCGGGTGCAAGGAGGTAGCTATCTTGTCCTTGCGGAGCTCTTCTACTCCACATCAGCCCAATTTCTTCGGATCCTAGACTCTCCTGGTGCGGTTTCTGATTACTTTTTTCAGGTAGCGGAAATACGGACAAATTGAACGCCGCACAGGTGCGCAGAAATTACCATTGGCTTTCAAGCTCGTGAATAGAAGTCTGCATAGCAATTTGAACGATCGCCGATCGTGATCAGTGCCTTAAGCTTGGACTGCCTCGTGTACTCTGTGATATCGACAGCGCACTCGGACAATTAAGACTTGGGGACAACTGCACGAAGTCAGTCCACACATAAGCATATATATATAGACGAGTCAAACTAGCTGCTATTGGCCTTGTAGTAACAGTGTCTTGCTTCCCGAGTCCGAAAGCTCTATGTCGACCAGCACGTGTGATATAGGACCGTATTAGTCAAACCTGAGTTCGCTGGCCGAAGGAAACCAAAACTTGACAATACTGTGTTCATCACTTCATGATCGCTCATAAAAACAAACTTTAGTTGAGTTCTAAATCTGACTGGACGACCTGACACAACTCGGTGCAAAGTTCAACAAACTCTCACGGCCTTGTGGCACTCGTTCAGTGAGTCAATCACATGGATCCGGAACCAGTACTTATCAGTATCAGGGAAAGCAAGGTTGCCAGCAGCATTATGCCTTTTAAAGAGTTCACGCTTGATGATATCGCTAAGGTGAGCACCAGGCCTCGCTTTGCGTTCTAGCGTACGCTGAATACGTTTACAGCATAACAAGGAAGGGGACCTCGTGCGTGCTATAACTTCAAGGCTATCAATCGACTATTAATCATATGCACAGTGGATTGTCATAGACTCTAAAGTTTATGACCTATCCCGCTTCGCAGACCTTCACCCAGGAGGCGCAGGCGTGCTGTATACCGATAGCGTTGGCAAGTGCAGCAGCTTCTCCACTCAACTCTCATATTCATATCGATTCCAGCTGGGAAGGATGCTACTCAGGTGTTCTTCGGACTTCACAGACTTGAGGTTCTTCAACGCCCTCAGTATGCCCGTCTCCAAATAGGAGCCATTCGCGGACAGACTGAAAACATCAAGCCTCTTGGTCCTGGGGAGCTGTCTCTTGTGCCCTATGCTGAGCCCACGTGGCTCACACCTGGATACTTCAGCCCTTACTATAGTGATAACCACCGCAAATTCCACAAGGCTATGAGGGCATTCTTGATGGAGTTCGTACAACCTGAGGCAGTTAGATGCGAGGAAAATGGGAAGAAGATATCGCAAGAAGTCGTGGATAAATTAAGGCAAACTCCCCCGCGTGAAGCTTGCGTAACTCGTTTAACAATGACACCACAGCGAGATAAATTTCCTGGCTATGCGCCTAGGACCAGGCAAGCACCTCAAGGGACTTACCTTGATGGGTGGCATCGTGAAGCCTGAAGAATACGACTACTTCCATGAAGTAAACATGCTCCTCACAAAGCATCCTCTTTACTCACTTACATGACTTTATAGCTCATTCTTAACACTGAGATTGCGCGGTTTGGCACACGAGCATTCGTGGACGGCCTCCTGAATGGCGGGGTTATTGCCCTCCCTCCCATTATTAATTTCGGAACTCCGGAACAACGAGCCAAGTTTGTACCCGACATTCTGGCTGGCAAGAAGTACATCTCCCTTGCTATCTCGGAAGCGTTTGCAGGCAGCGACGTCAACGGCGCGCAAACTGTTGCAGTGAGAGACGGTGATGAGTGGGTTGTCACTGGAACTAAGAAGTACGCATGTATGGTTCGAGCTACTTCATTAGAACGGATTACTCATGGTCGTTGCAGGTGGATAACAAATGGGACCTTTTCGGATTACTTCACGACACTATGTAAAACAGACGTATGTTTACTTTTTTGTTGATCCCCTTCTGAGTTCTCACCACCATTGCAGGCCGGGTTTGTTGTTTTGCTCGTTGAGCGCTCGGATGCTGTATCCACTAAACCGGTGAAAACGTCATACTCCTCAACTGCTGGAACTGCATTTGTCACATTTGACAAGGCACGCGTGCCGGTTGCCAATACCTTGGGTCAAGTCGGGAAAGGCATATCGATTATCTTTAGCAACTTCAATCATGAGCGGTGGATGGTCACCGCCTCGAGTCTTGGTGCGCAAAGACTTGTGGTTGAAGAGTGTTTGAAGTAAGGGCGCATCACAAGCTATTCTTCAAGTCTTTCTGACACTTGTGCATTGTTTCAGGTGGACGAACCAACGGATTGCCTTTGGGAAACCTCTTCATGCTCAGGCAGTTATCCGCGCTAAACTTGCGGCAATGATTGCTCGCGTGGAAGCCAGCCAAGCATGGGTAGAGAACATCACGCATCAAATGAATAATGTTAGTCTCTATATTCTCTGAGAGTTATCGCCCTAAAGTAGAAAATTTAGATGTCCTATGACGAACAGTCCGACAAACTCGCTGGGCCTATTGGATTGCTCAAACAGTATGCGATGTCCGCTTCCGTCGTTCCGGTGCTAAACTGATGGACTGTGATGTAGATTTGTATCAAAGGCTGGTCGTGAAACCGCCCAGGATGCAACTCAGATTTTCGGTGGTCGGGGTATCACCGTCACGGGTATGGGCAAGATCATTGAGAATGTACGTCTGGACTTTTACTCTTCCTCAGTGACGTGATGCTAACGGATGTTATGTCAAGTACCATCGCACGTCACCTTTTGATGCCATTCTTGCGGGTGCAGAAGATGTGCTGGGGGATCTTGGTGTGCGGCAGGCTATTAAGAGGATGCCTAAGAATGCCCGGCTGTGACGTACTGGGCGCTGAGCTTCTGCTGTTTAATTGCTATTTTTGTTCATGGGGTCTTGGATATAGTCGTGCCGGTTGCGTACCACAGGGATTTTGGACATGCTCTCATTTAGTCAGGCGTGTTATATCGGTAGAATCTGTGAATAGAAGAAGTTCGCATACTTTGTACATTGTACAGCACCTGTACAGGTCCACTAGATGGAAAGACATTTGCGAGCACCAATCCAGTAAGAAAAATGATACAGCAGCGTTCCCAGTCAATGTTCTGTTCCGCTTCTCTAAAACACGATCAATCCTAATCCTATAACACCAGAAACCAAAGACCAAGCTCCGCTTCCTCCTGCACTTAGTCCTGATGCAGTACTTAAAGTTGTGGGCGTGGATGTGGAAGAAGTTACATAACTTGGGCAGAGATAGACGTCGCCAGCCTGAATCCTGAGGCGTGTAAGTGCATGGGGGGAATTCAAAGGTCCCCGACAAGGTCACCGTGATGGACGGAAGTGAAGACATGGATGTAGTTGTCGGCTCGGACGGAGGTGACCACTCTGACATAGTTAACCACCCGGACGGTAAGGTACCATGAATGCTGGAAGTGCCAACACGGGAATAGGTTGAGGGAGTGCGGGACGGGTCTTGACCAGGCAAAGTAAGCTTTTGAAGTGGATAGCCGCGATCGTAGCAAGAGACGTAGAAGTCTGGTAGATGTATTGATCAGGCAATTGTCCCATGTGCTTTACTTATGTGAAGTTGGGCTTACCATCCATATCAGCTTGTGCCTTTGTGTAATCTGTACCATCAATTACAACGCCAGCGCATGACACGCAGTTGTAGTAGCTTGTTTGAAAGGACTGGGTGCAGCATGATGCGCCAGCCATAGTACGTGCCTGAACGAGAGTTAGCCCACCAGCAAGGACAGAGTCGGGATGCGAGCTTACAGCATCATATCCAGTTCGGAAAAGATCACAGGTTGGGCTGCACTCCCAGAGAACGAAACTGCCCCATTTATTGTATGTTGAACTCGACACCCCGAAGATATTGTATGATGAACCCGACACCTTCAAGACAGACTGGGTCGGATCAGGATTTGGATGAGATAAAACAAGGGCAGCAGCCGCTGGTAAAAGTACTGCGAGGCAAGCACACATTGTTGGCTTTTGTTATAAGGTCGTGTCGCGAAGATCGAGAAGGCTCGTTGGGAGGGGAAGGACTATATTGGCCTAGGAGCACAGCATATGAGTGCAAATGTGCCAGCGTTAATTTGTAATCATGGTGATCTTGTGTCATGTACGCATACGTATGTAGCCGGTCCATGCTCCCGACATTCACAGACATGAATTAATGTCATAGTTACCCTGAGTTGCAATACAAATCAATATGGTGAAGGTGCCAAGAAGAGAAACAGAGTATATGAGGTACCACGATGATCATCGTCCTAGTACCCGCTATAAAATGATACGGCTAATATAACAAAAAAACAACTGAGCCTGACTGAACATACCTCTTTATCCTGAGCGTAAAGAACGTTAACAATAGGTGGCTATTCTTGGCTTGTATGAACGGGCTACCAAGGTATGTTGTATATGGGTTCTGGAGGCAGTGAGAGACGACCAGGAGACCGAAAAGCGTTTGAACGAAAATGTAGTGATATTAATCAAAGCTTACGTTCTTACTGGAATTTGTGTCTGAACATCCCTAAGTTGAGGTATGTCCCGAGAGGGCAGAGAACTGCAACATGAGTGTGGGCGGCGTCGAGTCAAATACGAAAGGAAAAAGGAAAGAAACATACAATCTGAAGGATCACAAGATCGATGGTTCCGAACAGGGCGAATTGCATGCATGCGAGGAGAGAAGCAAAGATTTTTTCGCTGAGGTAATGAACATGGGTTGCTGGGGGGTAGTGGTAATGGATGAGTGGATTAATGAAGAAAAAATGGGACTCAGAGATACATACATTCAGTTGATCATTGAATATTAACGATGAACGATTTTCACTGCGCTACACGTTGAATGTAACTCAGACTCTACCTTGTCAGCTTATTGTCAAAGCACCGAGCATCATGTCAACAATAATTTAACTTTCTGCTTACTAAGACGAGAATGGACTCCGGCCCGAGATGTTGATTATCATAGTAAGCGCAGCCAACATCAGGCGACTCCTGTCATCAGTAAACCGGTGAGTTCTTGCTGGGGATTATGCTGATTATGGTGCTTTTACATAGTCATATATTGCTTTATATCACTTTATATTCCAATGTGACGAAAACCTTTCCTATATATTACGATATATAACGATATATGACGATATCTTCTTCTCACAGGTTCTCTGATGGTATACATCCCTGTTTCTGTCAGTCATATTAATCTGTTGTTACTACTGGTCGCACTTTGCTTGGGAGTACTGCTAGGCGCTATGCACAGCGTACAGATTCGGTATGTGTGTGCACCCGCTCAAACCAACATCATATTATCCCACTCACTGACGAAACGTACATGACAGACCAATGTACTACATCAGCGCCTCAAAATTTGAACCGGACCAAGGTAAGTGCCTGATCCGATGGTAACACAGCCATTGACATGCAGTGTCAGCAAGGCGCCTACCACTACAGCATGTAAAACTGACCCAAATAGCACCTCTCTTCATCACCTTCAACCCGTATCTCCTTCCCCTCGATGACTGACTTTGCACAGTGTTTCTCTGTTCAGTCCGTTTGTACGGCCCAGTATCCTATATCGATCAAGGTCATGTCACCCGAAGAGGCCGAGTCGAGCACGTCAACGGGACGGGGAGAAGCGCCATTGCACTCACCGAAATATCGTACGAGCGCGAAAGATCCACCACTATATGGTGCACAGCACCGCCAGGATGCACTTTGGGAAGGTGAGCAGTTACCTTGTGATACGTACTAGTTCACTCAATTAGAAGCAGGTGGGAATGAAACGCTTCCTCCGATGTGGCAACAATTCAAGACGTCGTTGGGTGGTGAAATACGATATCAAGATGACACGTTCATGATAGCCTCGTGGAACCGACCTTTACCAGGAGTGCGACTAGGTGGGGGATGAAATTGCGACAAGGTGCAACGAACTCACGGTTGAACACAGATTATCCTGGATATCTCGCTGTTCCTGGATGCGAATGGCATATCTCACCACTTGGTCGGTCGTACTTCGTCGACCACAATACTCGGACCACGTCGTGGAAGAAACCAAAGCCAAAACGTCCGGCAGGAAGCTTGATGCCGGAGTGCGTCATTGTGGGTCACTCTCAATGGATATGGAGCCTTGCCTACTTGGGTGCCAGTGGCAATATAATGAGCACATCTGAGGACAGTTCGATTCACCAGTGGAAAAGAGACGGAGAGCCAGTGGGAAACCCTTTGAATAGCAATGGGGGAGGGATAATTTCGATGGTAGTATCTTCGGATGAAACAATGGCCATTTTTGGAAGTGCAGATGGTAGACTGCGGCTGTGGAATATAAAGGAGGGCAGCATGGTCGGTGAGCCGTGGGAGGGCCATGATGATGTAGTGAGGTGCCTTGATTGGTCTCGCGATTCCCTGGAGATAGCAAGTGGATCTGCGGACGGCACCATACGACGCTGGAATCCGAATACTGGTCGACAAATAGCACCACCCACGGAGACCAGTCACGGATGGGTTTATATCGTCAAATACTCTCCACAAGGCGACAAATTCATAAGCGGCGGTGCGGACAATGTGATCCGCATGTGGTCGAGGAATGGCAAGCTGCTTATCGAAATCAAGGAACACGACAACGTAGTGACGTCATTGTGTTGGTCCAAGGACGGCACACACATATTCTCCGGGTCATTCGATGATACCATCCGAAAATGGCGGGCGAATGATGGACAGGAACTCGTTGTTCTTCGGGGTCATACCAATGGCGTCAGATCCCTCTGTCTTACTCCCAACGAAAGCTATATCGTTAGCGCATCAAGTGACTACTCCATTCGCATCTGGGATCTCAAGACCAATCAGGCAGTCGGAGATCCACTCTTGCATGATGACGAACTCTTGGCTGTTGTCATGTCCCCTGATGGCAAACACATTGTCAGCGCTGGACTAGACAAAAAAATCTATGTATGGAGCCTGGAGGCAGCGCTCAAAGTTGTGGTACGCTTGCACTTTGTTATCCGAGAATGATCATTGATTCTGACCATTTAGGCTGCGGATGACGGGAATACGAAGCTCAAAGCAAGTCTTTTCTGCGTCTCTTTCACACTACTACATCTCACTTTTTATCAGGGACATCCAACCCAACCGAGAGTTGTGCAACAACCAATCGTAAGGAACCTCATCTTTTCTCGTATGTTTCACTAGATTCTTAATGTCCATCTGCACTTCCAACAATAGGCCATTACCAAAGGCTCGGCGAAATACGTTAGTAGAATTTTTCGTTCTTCAGCTCTTGCTAATCCGACTTTGATGCAGGGCAATGATTTCTTCGGCAATGATCCAAATCGCGGACCTCATCATGCAGCTCCGTCTGCAAGTCCATCTTTCCTTCATTGGCGCAGTTTGATTGGTTCCCTCCGGTCCACTGCTCAACCTACAGATACGCCTCGACCGTCACCTCGCGAATCTCGGCATTGGAATTTCAGCTTACTTCCTCTAAGAAATTCAAGTCGCATAGTTGATGTAGCTCCTGCTCGTGATGAAGATGTAAGTGACTCGCCGTCGCTCCAATTCCGTTCCATTAAAATATGTTACAGAGATATGGCATTGTCCCTGAAACTGATGCGGAAGCGGCTGCAGCTATGCAATGTACGAACAGCAACCAGGCCAATAGTGCAACGCACTCAAGTCAACCAGCAGGGACACAACCATCTCAAGTGCAACCAATCCAAACACAAGTACAAGGCTCGACTGGCGGAGCGGGAGATGCTGTGTATGAAGGAGTGAGCTGCTGCGGATTTTTCTTTGGTCGTCGTCGTTCTGCTTCGCATCAGTCATGAATGCATGAAGGATGGAAGACGTGCAGCAAGCTCGCAAGCAGTTCAGCTCTCTTTCCCTCACACCTGTGTAATCCCCAACATGATCAATATACTCATCAGATGAGTGTGCTACTGAAGTAAGCATTCATAAGTGTCCGTAACGTGCTTGAGCTAAGCGTCCATCTCAATGGTTTCGCTGATGGTCCAGTCTCATGTCGACGAGCAGGACAATTATACACCAGTTTTCCCGATTAGCTGTTCCGCAGCACGATCAATCCTACAGCAGCACTAACCGAAGCCAAGACTCTCCTGCCTCATGTGTTTAGCCCCAGCGCAGCACTTGAGCTTGTGGGTGGGGGTGGAGGACTCGGACTGGGTGACTCTGGATCTTCATCGGGATCTTCACCGGAATCTTTATCGGGAATGCCCGCCCTGACGACCACCATATTGCCTTCAAGTATTTCGCTCGCCTCTTCTGAGACGTCGACCTTTGCCAACGGCACTGCAATTTCGTCCACAGCACTGGAAGTTCTAGTGCGGGAAGAAATTGCGTGAGCGTCTTGACCAGGGAGTGTGAGTTCTTGCAGCGAATAACCGTAATCGGAGCAAGAGACGTAGAGTCCTAGTGTATGTATTAGTAAGGCGATTGACGGCTTGTGCCTGTATATAATCTGTAGCATTCAATGCAATGCCAACGCGCAAGAGGCAGTTGTAGTAGCTTGTTTCAAAAGACTGAGTGCAGCATACGGATGGCACAGGACATCCCTGGATGAGAGTTGGCACATCAGCAAGGTCAAGGTCCGGGATGCAAGCTTGCATCATTCTCTTTATCGTTGACAGGATCGCAGATCGAGGTACACTGCGAAGGAACGAAGCTGCTGCTGTCTTCCGTACGATGAACTCAACAAAGACTGAGTCAGATGAGAAGTGCTTGGACGAGATGAGACAAAGGTGGCCACTGACAAGACTACTGAGCAGATTATAGATGCATGCATCGTTGGCTGTCGTTACAAGGTCGTACCAAGAGGAGATGGGGAGCCAGAAGAACTATGGATGGCATACAGGCTGGGACCACAGTAGCTCTACCAAGACCGTCAATTTCCTGTTGCTCAGCTTAGATTCGTGACCAGTCTGACATGTCATGTGAGAGTGACGTAATCGTCGATCTCGGAGAGATTTGGCAGGCGAAGCACGGAGTTCGAATTTAAGTCGCCGCGGTGCGGAAGAAATGGGACAATCGTCGCAGCCAGGTACTCGACCACGGCAAGGGAAAGCCTAGCTCTTGTCGTTCAGTTCTCCATCTATCCAGGGATGGTCGTCGCACTTTGGCTATCACCGTATTCCTGCCACATGGCCCGAAGCACTCGACTTGCCGCTATTGCCCTCCAGGCTCGACTGCTCGGGGCCCAAGTCAACGCTATCATACTTATGTGATGTTCCGTACATCCAAGATTTTCATTATTATCAAGAGGGCTTCATCAATATGTTCGTACCCATTTAACATTTGTGTGATTCATATATTTACAGTATCAAAAATTTATTCGCATAGGCCAATATCGTTTCATTCAGGTACTCCTAATGGTTTCTTCATCTAGCTTCAATTCACCAGGCTGCACCACCGGGTGACCTGGCCATCTATCTGTTCATGTAAGTAGCGAGACTGTGACGTTACAGCTGCACTGTGGCATAGATATTCGATAAATCGGCAACATTGACCTTCGTCATCGAGGATGCGTCGCCGTATTTGATCTTTGGTAACAACGGGACAAGCCTACTTTGCTGTATATTTGTGCCCTCGGTGCCAAAGTATCTGACATTTTAAGCAGGGTAAGTGATGATACACACAATTGGACTTAGTTGTGACCTTAGACTTTCATAACTCCAGCAATGGTTTGCTCGAGCCCAAGCTGCCATCCCATCCAAATACTCGATGAGACCAGGGGCATCGGTGCAAATTTCCGACGAAGGGACCTGTGCAACACCGTCGATAAACCGCTTCTCGACTTGAGTATGATAGCGTGCTGCCCAAGCCATCGCACCGCTTCTGTCGAGGCCAAGTTCCAGCACGATAGCGGTAATTAAGTTATGGTTTTCGTCCCCAGTTGCTTGCTCTCTGTTGTACGAGGCCATGTCCTATGAAAGTCTTTAGCATACTGTCAACCACCTCTTGGAGATGACTTTACGTTGTCAATTAGAATCAGTTCTACAATACATTGACGCAGTTCCACGATCATGGGGTGGTAGAACACTTCGTCAGGAAACTCCGATCCCATTTCATATATTGCGAAAGAAGGCCTAGCACCACACGTATCCCGACGGAGCTTGAGATAGTCATCGATACTGCGGCAATGACTATGGTCGCGGTCCTCAGCCTCGGGAACTGTTGCATGAAGGTATGCGGTCATGCTGTCGAGGAAATGACGCTGAGAAGACTGGCTGGCAGTCTGGATTGCACGAGCCCAAAATCTACGCACAGATACCTTGAACTTCAGGTATTCATCAAACAATACAATTTGGAGATACTTACTGTCGCACGATTTCACCCAGGATACATTCACCTTCTGGTCGCATCTTATGAGGATCGTGTAGAGCATCGAGTACAATGTCCACCATTTCCTTAGTGACTGCCGCATTTTCTTTGTCGGTGTACTCGTCAAATATGAAAAATACATTCATCAAATCACAGCCAATTCGAAGGTGATCTTGAAAATTAAGTGGTCAGTGGTTGATGGTTCACCAGTGCTCAAACACACACCTCTCGGTGCATTCGGATAAGCAAGTGCTGCTAGCCGGGCTATAAGCACAGGATGTATCAGCCATTTTCAGAATGAGAGCTAGATATCGGTACAACCAAAATCACATTTGTCGAATGCCTCCTGTGATTTGGGGTCTAGAGCCCTGAAGTCACGGAACGCAGCATCGACTTCCGTTTTCACATCCTCGAAATGAGGATTGATGGCACGAGGCCAGGGCCAGTTGACCATGGTGTCTGGGAGGTAAAACATCATCTTTGCATGAGATATGGTTTCCAAGGATAAGTGCGGGCGTGTACAAGAGGAGAAATATTATTGCTTGTCAGTCCAGGACTTGCAGCAGAACTTATATACCCTTCCCTCGGCGTCAGTGCTCTCCTGATCTATTAGAGAGTATCTGTATTCAGAGTTTTACTAACTATACTTTTCAATTGACCTTAGATTATAGGTGCAAGAATCACAGTACTTGTCATCGGATTTGGTGACCCTGTTCGCGCGGTAACTTGACGCTGACTCCGGCTAGCAGTAGTAGCCAACACGTAGCTAATATATATTATAGCATTGGGCGATAGGGCCATCTGCAAAATGACTGAAATGGACGCTTACCCCACACGCGTTACCCGGAATACTTACGAAAGCTTACAACTTCAGCAGAGGCGATTAGTGGAGATGCTGAACACTAATCTTATGCACCATATCTGGCTGATGCATGAATGTGGATGAGATGTTGTAGATGCGTAGGTAGAACGAAGTTCGGCGAATACACATTGCACTTTTCCGATCAAATGGAAGTAAAGCGATAAGCTTGATAAACTTTGTTGCGGGAAGCGCCAAAACCAACGCTGGGCATTTAACGTTTAATTTTGAGCTCCCTTAAAAATGTCCGTGAATGGCAACGCACCATCATTGGAAACTATGTAAGTGTGCAGTGGATTTTCAAACCTTTACCGGTGTACCAGCTGTGGGGCGTATAAAAACTCCTATCAAAGGGGAACGTTCCAGGACCATAAAGGCCTAGGGCAACTGGATTCGGGATAGGCTGGCTTTAGACATTGATCATCCCGGATCCTTCATAAGTACTGATGCCTGCTTGGCCCGCTTCTAGCTGGGATCGGATATTGTCCGGTCAGGACGTCCTTGTAAATACAGTTCTAGGACCGCTAATCGGTAACGCTGCTTGGCACGCGGCAATCAATTCCCTTACTCCGACACCAGTGCAAGACTGACACATTGTACAGCCTATCAGCGGGTTGGATTATGCTACAGAATGCTACAAAGCGCTCTGTAGCACTCTGTAGTGAATTACGTTTCCCTGATGTGTTTCGTCTCGAATGATATTCACGATGAGCTTCGAGCAATGCAACCCAAGCGTCAATGGTCCCTGGACAACTGCAGTATTGACGAAGAGAAAAATCCATGCCTTAAGACCGACACTTGGCATATTGCATATATACGATGTAATTGCCCCGAGGATTCTGGAGGAACGACCATGTTTGTAGGGTAAGTGCATAGGAGGAATAAAGATGGATACTGGCGGAGTGGTCCCAGATATACACGACGAGTGCCGCCTATCCAGCGCATGCTGCAACGATGACCCAAAGAGAAATGTCAACTTTTCGGATGCTAAGGTGAGCGAGCCGCATGCCACGCGGAGGGCTGTGTTTCTGGTGGCGTCGCTGGACCTCCATACTTGTCTAGGTCAGACACACGACGCATGCACCAGAAAGTAGTAGTGATCGATTGCGTGTGGTGGACGAGTGCGGTGGTCAGGTCTAAAGGCGAGGAGCCCCACGTCAAGATTTTGGCAGCCCGCATCCCTGACAATGCGATCATCACCTGGAGGAGTGCGACGCACAAAATGAGGAGAGGAA